GTAAATCTATAGCGAACATTTTGGGATCAAATACATAAGAAACATTTTCATAATGAGTGATGTTATATATCATATATATAACAGTGTCACCTCCAACAAGTGCTGTTATATATGTACAATGAGTGCTATTGATATGTCATCTTTTAACATCACTCATATTAAATAAGGCAAAATTTGTCTCAGACATTTTATCAAATACATAAGAAACATGTCCAGTTCCACCACATTTATAAACAATTTCATGAACTTGTCTCTGTTAGTTCAAATTCATTAACCCAGAAGATTATATGCAGTAATGAAAGGGACGAAGGTGATGAAGATGTAGATGACAAATCCATGAATTTTTTCTCTCCCTTAACCGAAAAAATAATAGGACAAAAATATATGTTCATATTCAATATAGTAATAATGAAATCAAAATTTTGATACAAAATATGAATGAAAAAATACAAACCAAATATAATAAATACATACAGAGATTGCAAGTTTAGTAAATCAACAACAGTTTCACATAAATTCAACCTTTGACATTTCCTGTAATATAAAATAAGCAGTTAACATAGATGTAAATGCAAGCAACAAAAGTGAATCAAAAAGAAACAAATGAGGTAAAATAAAACAATGATTCACCTTATGGTCGAATAGAGAAACCAAAAGCTAATAAATTGCTTCAAGAAATAAACTAAGAGAAAAGAATAAGAGGTGACTTATATATGTATTATTGTCGGTAAGGTTTTGTTTTTAAATCTGTAAATATTTGCGCCCACTAAAACAAAAATGTATGACTTTTAACAGAACTCTCTAAAGAAAACGTTGTTAAATGTGTTACTTTACACGTACATTAACTCTATCAAAAGATTGACTACGTAAATGTAAATTTCAAGATTTATTGAATGCACTTCATGAAACAATAGTAACGAAACAAGACACTAATGAAAAATCATGTTAGAATTGAGTAAAAAACTAAGACTCTGCATCAATAACATCCTAAAATCATAGAGAACATGTGCAAAAAGTTTCAATGAAAAATTCAAAACCAAACTAATTTAAAAATAAAAAACAGATTCACTATAAAACTTGAAAAATAAAACGAAATAGTAAAAAGGGTTTTTTTTTTGGAATTTAAGGGTGTACCTTTATGATATATTGAGAAAATTTGGATATAATGAATTTTTCTACCCCAAATGCATATATAATATGTTCAATTATGATTAGTGGTACAAAAGTTATGTCAAAAATAACATTTCATCATAACACCTTCAAGTGTTGTTCATATGTCACATTTAACCGTGTTCATGTAAGCAAGTGAGGTTGATATGTCATCTTTAACAACATTTGCTTAAATGAGTGTTATTGAATATCACCTTTTAACACCACTCATTAAAGCATTGTTAAATGTGTGACTTTTAATAATGTTCATTTAAGCAAACGTTGTTAAAGATGTGTAACTTTTAACAAGACTCGTTGTAATGAACGATGTTGATATACCACCTTTAACAACACTTATTTAAGTGCGGTTAAATGTGTGACTTTCAATAGCGCTCATTGTAACGAGTCTTGTTGATATATCACCTTTAACAGCGCTTGCTTAAAAGAGCGCTATTGAATATCTTTGGCAAACATACAACATCATTTTCTTCAATGAGTGTTGTTGAAGTTATATTAGTCTATCACCTTTAACAACGCTTACTTAAAAGAGCGGTGTTGATTATATACACCTTGTATTTAACAGCGTTGTGCTAGGAAGTGTTGTTGAATGACCGTTGTTAAATGTAAATCCTGACACAGTGAGTATCAGTATCATTGATGTTAATGATGTGTTAGGGGCCCTATTAGGAGTTATTTCTCCCTCATGATATTGACATTTCAAATTTGATTACATCAATGCGATAATTATTATATGTCATATGCTTTGTTTATCTAATATCTCATGTGTTGTTTATATACATTATGTGGAAATACTTACTCTCCTAATATTTTAGGGAGTACGTGACTTTATGAAGAATGATTGTGTCATCCTCCGAAAGAAATGAAAGACAATCCTTGTGACTAAGTAGTGTGTCGCTCTTCGTTTAGAGGTTTGTGTCATCTTAGAATTCTGGGAACTGATGATACCCACTAATTTCAGAATAGTATTGTGCGAAGAATTGGTGATGGAAAGGCTACTAAATTATGGCATCACAATTGGTTAGGTCTCTCTAATCTTATGTCCAAGTATCGGTCTCTTTATAATCTCGTCCTTTCTAATTAAGGACGCCCTTATCATTGACTGAGGAAGATGGTCAAAGTGAAGTAGGAGTGAACTTTACCATGGAGATAACAAACTTTTTCTTGGGAACTCGAGTCTATTGCTAATCTTATACAAGAAATCTAGGAATGCTCTCTCCATGACATTACTCTAAATTCTTGGGAGTGGATCCATGATAAATCTAACTTGTATTATGTTAAATCTGTTTGCAGAGTTCTGTTAAATAACAGAAGGAATATCATGTCTTCATTACCTTACTCTACTTGGGTATCTCATTTATCTTGGTTAAGCTTAGTATTTTTCATAAGATGTTAAACTTAGATTCAAATGTTTTTTCTACAAGATCAAAACTAAGAGCTCTAAAATATCAACAATGACAGTGCAGTCTAGAATTTCTTCTAAAATATCAACATTACATCACATGTTTGACAAAAGAAAATGGAACCTCCAGAGACTCGAGAAAACCACATGCCCCAACTCTTTGAAAATTTAGAACATATGCATGTGATCATAAGTTAAATAGTTTAAGTAAGAATATGGCAACTGCATAAAGCTATGCTAAACTCAATATTAAACTAATTTATAGTTTGATTATAAACTTCAATCCCTTTAAATAGTGATATGATTAAAGGGATTAGGAATGTAACAAAAGAGACATTTAATTTGGTGAATTTAGAGACTTTAAACATAAGGTAGGATTTAAATGTGAAGATTCATAATACAATAAAGAAAAGGTCTACGTTAAAGAGGAATATTATGAAGTGTGGTCCTTGTATGTAAAAAGGAATATCATGTGGTGTTGACGATATTTAAAAATGATGGAAACCTGGGGAATATATAGTAGCTAGAAAATATACCATTTAGGCGATTACGAGAGACAAAGATCACTTGTTTCATACGGTGTCATATTCCTTGTCCCAAACCAATTAAAATGTTAATTTTTTAATTTTTTAATTTTAATTTTTTCTTTTATTCGTGTAGCAGCCTTCCGATTGCTCTGAGACAAGGAGTGAAACACAGTGTGTAACAAGTGATTTATGTCCCAAAACGAGAAAGAGATACAACATTTGACAAACTTGAATCCCTGGGTATTAAACATAAGGAAGAATGCATTATAGGTCAAGAATGTATTATCTTTGTTATAAAACAAGATATAGAAGAAGAGACACTATTACATGTCTTTTTTAATTATTTAACGATTTTCAGTAAACAAAACATCTTATTTTGTCAAACAAATCAAGTTAACTCAACTAGTTGCACAATTATGAGCTTTTAGCTCTGAAATCAAAACTATGTATAAGTTATAAAATATCAAGTGCATACTACTTTTACCATTCTTGCTCAATATTTCATTTCCAATCAAAGTTAACATGTTTTTTTCTATTCAAAAGGATCTCCAGTAACAGAGAGACAAATGTTTAAAAAACCAAAGGGAACATAACCTTCAATAACATATATATCAATTTAATTACAATAAAATTACACTTTTACCATTAAAAACAAAGCAAAAACATGCATTTGCCTCTCCAATTGATGGAGAGTTCCATTAAAACATCATCATTGAGAGGAGTCTTGTTTATACATCCAATCATGTTATATAATATTTGTCTTTTTTTATATTCACGTAAAACAAAACCTAGACTCATGGAGTCAATTGATGATTTGTAAACTTTGTATTGTTAAGAAAAAAAGTCATAGAACTCTCAAGAATGAACGTGACACGCATGCATATTTGAATATGGAAGTAGAATTTTTATGAATGGGTTCAGCATATCAAAAAAGAAAACTTTCTAAGATAGCAGCATATTCGATTAAATGGAACAAGGACTGAAGGACAGATATGAGAAAACGTGAGGCTGAAACGTTTCAAGTTGCTATTGGTTAAGTCTATGATGTTATTGGTTGGTTTTTTGTATTTACACTGTATTGGTATCAAAGTGGTCCTATATACACTGTTTGAGATTTTACAAATGAAAATGAGAATCAATCTTCTTATCATAAAGACATTGGTTATATTAAAAAATTGAAAATTACATCTTGAGGTGTCATACACACAGTACTTTTGTCATTGTACAGCTTAATGTTTGACTTGTGGTATTCGCATTTGATGCTCAACTTTTTTTTACATTATTTATGAAGGAAATCATATCTTTTTTTTATCTTTTTCTCATATATTCTTATGTCTTCCTCATATATTTTTTATTTTTTCCTTCAATTCTTAGTTATTAGAGATATGATCATTTTATTTCAACTCATTGAGATTTTGTTGTTCTCTCTCCATATATTTATTTATTCATTTGAATACAACACATTAACACTAGTACTAGAGGTGAGCGGGATCCAACCCTACCCGCTCTCCCGACCCTACTCGCTCACCCGATATGGTTTGATCATGATCAGGTCTGAATAGGGTTAGGTCAAATTGGGTCTAGGGCCGGATACAGGTTAAAAAATTAGACCAACCAATATTTAGGGTCGAGTAGGGATCAAACATGACATGTCCCGTGATCACTCACTCATGATATTTGTATGTGTCTCTGTTCAAATGTATACAGAGTAATGATACATTTTTGATAAAAAAAAATATCATTGATTCTTTAATTTTTCATCATATATACATGTTTAATAATATATATATATATATATATATATATATATATATATACATATATTATTTTATATGTCAAATTACATATTCACAATAATAAATAATATTCAGAAGATTTTATGTAAAATGAGTATAAGTTATATTTAATTGGATCTAGGGTCGGATTTGGGTTTAAATGCTGACTCTGTGAATATTTTGGGTCGGGTTAACTACAGGTCTAGCGTCGGGTCCGGGTTCAGAAAAATGGTTGAATCAATATCTATGGTCGGGTAAGGACAAGCCTTAACTCATCCCAACTCGGCCAATGCTCATATTTAATGAGTATTAGAAGAAAAACTCTAGCCTCCATCACCTTCCACCAAACACAAATCCATAAAAGTATCACCAAGACCAAAAACATCGAAGAAATGACAACTCATAGTTCTCCCATACGATCAACAGACCCCAATTCCTTCTATTGTATTCATGCATCAGATTATCCACGTCAAGCCAAGTAGATCTGATCCTTTATTCTGTTATATACCCATTGTGGCTGTCAAGGACATGAATCCGAAGGGTGTTTCAAGTGTATTGGTTATCCAGAATGGTGGTCGACCAAAAAAAGGAAACAAGATGACAAAGCAACAAATTCAAAGAAAGGGTAATCCAAATATAGATGGCAAAATGGGAAATGGTTGTGTGCATGTCCGCATAGTCCGCATTTTTTGCAGACATTTCATACAAATTTCGTCTATTTGCCCGTTTCGCTTGTCGTTGGCCCGCAGACATTATTTAAGGGGGAAAAAAATAAGAAAATATAAAATGAATTATGACGTAATGTGATTTTTAATGCCTAAAAAATATAATCTAATGTGTTTTATTTAACTTCATATAAAATATAAAAAAATTTGTCTACCTTTTCTCCTCAACTACTTTATTTAATTTTTTTTTATATACAACAATGCATGCAGACCGTCTGTTAGCCCATTTTAAAACAGGAAGAGCATACAATTTTGTCCGTTAAGTAATTATGGGCATGCTCGCACCCGCTTAAATCTTTGTGGGGATTTGAGGGCATGGGAAATACAGGCAATGGCGGCCCATTTTCCATCTCTAATCCCAAGTCAACATATGTCAATATCGAATTCAGTCCAATTCTACGACTAATAGTAGAGGAGTATGCTTAGTTGATACGTCACTACTCAGAAATTGATGGCTCTACGTCTAAAAATGCCTCACCCTTTGCTAACATGGCTGGTAAGATGATTTTGGATAATGTTTGGGTAATAGACACAATGCATGACTTATGCTTGAAGACCCTGATTGGCTTGGGATGGTACAACAATGGTATACTACATGGAACCGGCCATAAATAAAGGAAATAGTAAATGTGGCATGCTTCAACTTCTAAGCTTCATGAAATGGATTTCTTTGGGAAATAGTAATATCACTTTCAATATTGAACCATATAATTCATGTGTAAGGGCTAAGCAAACTTGTTTGTCGTTTTATGATAGTTCAATAAAATCAATTGTTTGTTTTAAATTGCTACATTGTGACATTTGTGGGTCATTTCATGTCCTCTCATTTTCTAGAGAACATTATTTTATGTCCATTGTTGATTATTTATTCGTGTATTTGATTAAATAGAAGTTTGATGAAAGTGAGCATTTAATAACCTTTTGTAAAATGGTTGCTACACAATTGAGAGAAAAAGTTATGAAAATAAGGAGTGATAATAGTGGGAGTTCAATACTAATAGCATAAACAAATTATATATATTGAATGAAGAATTATACTAGAAACTACTTGCACTTACATCCCACAATAAAATAAGGTAGTTGAAAGAAAACATAGACATATTCATAAAATGGCACAAGCATTGAGATTTCAAGAAAATTTACCTATTGGTTTTTGGGGGAATGTGTTTTAACATCAACATATATCATAAATAGACTTCCTATGAAGGTTGTTAGCTATAAATGGTTGATAAATTTTATTTAATTAGATTCAACTAGAAAACTGATAAATTGGTCATCATACCGATACAGTACAACAATTATACTCGTATGTAATTAAACCAACTCAAAATTGCTCATACCTATTCATTCCCATTTAAACCATGTTGAACAGTTTTCATTTAAATTTATAATTTTTTATTTATGAAAATGACTTAATTTTTATTAAAATGATATTGCGGAGAATGAAACACACAATTATTATCTATCTTTATACTTCTAAAACATGATATATCATCAAGTCTCACATTTTATTTTAACAAATAATTTAAATAAAAGTATTCAGCATATTTTTTTTTAACATTGATTTTAGTATTATATATATATAATCTAATTTCACTTATGTTGTTTAATTTGTGATTCATCGTTTGAACCGTCATATCACTATACTAATACTTTGACTAGTTTGATGATCGATAAGATATTAATAACATTGATTTAGTATGAGTATAGCCTATGTAAATAAGATTTTTAATGGTATATATTGTTAAATATTGTTGATTGTTTGTGATATTAAAATGAGATTATAATGTTATTATCAACGTTCTTAATTAGGAGTATATAAATTTATTATTTTACAAATAAATATTCAAAGCTCAATTTGGAGGCATTATAAGGTTATTTTTCCTTCTTTTTTTGGGTAAGCAAAAGTATTATAAAAGGCAGAAGGGGTGTCACCCAGTTACAGGTTACATAATAGTTCAATACAAGCAAAATGTTCGATGCACCATTGTGCACCAAGATGTGAATATAACTAAGGGTTTCCCCCCTAAAAATGACTTCATTCCTCATTCTCACACAAACCAAATAACTACAAATTATAACATTCTCCATAAAGGTTTCCCTTTATGGAAAATACATAAAGCATCATGACTCTGGACAAACTCAATAATTGTAGATGGGATATTAATCTGAACTTAAAGTCGCAAATAGAAATCCCTCCAAACATTGGACACAAAAGGTTTAAGTGATAGCATTTTCACTGCTATACTTGGAATTAATAATTTTAACCGAAAGAACATCAGGATCCACAATTCTTCTCCACATCCATTTATCCAAAAAAATATTATTAAACCGAGAAATAACTTTGACCCCTAAACCTTCAAACCTTTTCAGTTTACACACCTTAGACCAAGCGACCCACGGAATATCCATACGATTTCTCTTCTTACTCCATAAAAAATTATGCCAAGTAAGTAGCTATCTGGATTAGTTCCCACTAGGATTCCCATGTAAAGAAAGAAAATTGAAGCAATTCTACAAGACAATAATGAAGTCGAGTCCACTAAGAAAGCATCACAAACCCTTATGCCTGCCAAAAAGCTTTTGTTGAATTTAACCTTCAACCTAGAAACCAACTCGAAACATTTGAGAATACTTTTCATTCACTAAATATTATTGACAATTGGTTTACACACAAAGATGGTATCTTATGCAAACTGAAGATCTGTAACTTCCACACTGTGCCTCCACACTTTATAACCTTCGAATAAACCACTAGAATGTGCATTTCTTACTATACTAGCAAAACCTTTGGCATCCAACAAGAACATAAAAAGCACTAAAGGATTACTTTGTCTAATACCTTTAGAAACCGAGAATTGTGAGGATTGAGAGTCATTAATAAGAACATACATAGAAGTTGATGTCAAACAAGTATTAATCCACATTCTCCACCTAGTTGAGAAACCCAACCTACCAAGCATATATTCCAGAAACTCCCAACTAACAGAGTCATAAGTTTTTTCAAATTCCACCTAGAAAAGAAAAGAAGACAATTATTACTATCATTTTAGCCGAATGGATAACCTAATTGATCACCACGGTTGCATCAAGAATAAATTGACTCTGGATGAATGCCGATTGAGATGAAGAAATTACAAAACCCACAACCTTTTTCAACCTCTCTGCCAAGATTTTTGCAATGATCTTAAAAAAAAATAACTCACTAGAGAAATTGCCCGAAATCTTGAATTTTGGTTGGATTTTTTATCTTCGGAATCAAACAATAAAAGATGAATTCAAACTTTCCAGAAACTTGTCATTCACATAAAAGTCTCTAATAAAAAGACCAATATCCATTCTAAAAGACCTTGAAATTGAATCTATATGGGCTTGGACTCTTGTACATGCAATATCTAGCTTGAGCATCAAAAAGGCTTGTGAACTCTACACCATCTAGAGTAGGATTAGACCACTAAGACCTTTGAAAAATGCAGAAACTAATATTAGCCCTTATTCGATTAGTTACAAAACTCATTTTCATAACCATAACCATCTACTCATGAAATCACTTTAAGCAAACGCATAGCAGCATCATAACTGAGAAATCACCAAAATCACACCATATTAACCCTTCATCATCTTCAGGTTCAACTTCAAAAAAATCAAGAACTACAACCCATAAATTTGACCCACATAACAGAGAGAAGTGTTAGATTTTCAAGTTAGATATTGCATGTACAAAACAAAACATCTAAAAGGTGTTTCATCTTTTATCTTTATATGATATGTCATTTGCAAAGTGAGTTATCCATGTTATTAAATACTATAAAAATATTCCGACAACTAGATTATCAAGAATATGAAAATATGAAACAACAAGAAAATTTTGATATAATGGACCCTTAACCATTTTATTTTTCAGCGAATAGTTTTTGAAATATCAATCATATTAATAAAAATGTTTTACAATAAAAAAATTTGGCAACTAAACATGAAAAATGAAAGTTATTCACAAATTACAGGGCAACATCATATTTGAAAAAGTATGCTTATAAACTATAATTATGTAGCTAACATACACCACATTCTATAGGCCTTGCTTGCTGCTGCCTACTACTAACCCTTTATCATGAACAAGAATATTATTCTTTAACAGAGTTACAAGTATTTGATTTTAGTTATATTTTCAATAGCAAAAGTGTTATTTCATTATATATAAGAGAATAAAAATGTCTTATCAGATTATATGTCTCTTCATTAATTGAGAGAATCATTACGCCCACTATATTTCCACTTTAACATTCCAAAAGTCATTTGATTAAATTAAATATGTTAATGGGATGATACCCCTAGTTGACAATTTGACATAAACCTAATCCATGTGAAGTGTGTGCATTTTGATTCCCTTCCCTCATAATGTCCAAATAGTGAGTTTAAAAAAAATGTAGTTATGGTTAACATAAACATTTATATAATTGATATATTATTTATCATTCATCTATATTACTTATATCTAATAATTAGTAATAATTAAATATAAATTGTGAATGATATAATGATAGTATGAAATTCTTGTAGTGAATATCATAACATATATTTACAAAAGGAAAAAACTACTACACAATATAATATTTAAAGAGAATGTTAATCAATGTTCCATGTTTGATTGAAGAAATATTTTTTAACATATGATGAGCATATTTATTTCATTCTCACGTTTCGTTGTTATAAAATATTATAAAAAATATAATGACATCCGAAAATATTGTTTTAATATTCTCATTCGCATACTACTTTGAGCTGTTTTTTTTATAAATAAAATAAAACATCTAAAAATCGACATCTCACATTTTTTATTGATGTCCAAGAATGTTAAATATTTGTAG